TTTTCAGATGAGCCAGTTCGACTTCAAGGACCAAAAAGCGGAGAAGGAATTGGTCGTGTAGAAATATTCTACAATGGACAATGGGGCACAATTTGTGACGATAGTTGGGATTTGCAAGATGCTATGGTTATATGTCGTCAACTTGGTTATGGTAGTGCAGTAAAAGCTTTACTAGGAAGCTCTGTTCCTGATGGTAGTGGAAAGATATGGTTTAATGATGTTGCTTGTACAGGTTCAGAAGTTAATGTATCTAGTTGCTCATATGGTGGATGGGCAACACACAACTGTGGACATTATGAAGATGCTGGTGTAGAATGTCTTACATGTAAGTAATTTTTCTAGTTTTTAGTGACTATTTGTGTCATTTAAATTCAAAACTTTTAAAATCAATCTTTAATTGCTGAATTTGCTGGAACATAAACATTTAACACCTCGGGTACTTAAAAACTTTGTAACCCAAAAATTTTTTCAGACGAACCAGTTCGACTTCAAGGACCAAGAAGCAGGGAAGGAATTGGTCGTGTAGAAATTTTCTACAATGGATATTGGGGCACAATTTGTGACGATGGTTGGGATTTGCAAGATGCCATGGTTACATGTCGTCAACTTGGTTATGGTAGTGCAGCAAAGGCTTTACCAGGAAGCTCTGTTCCTGATGGTAGTGGAAAGATATGGTTAGATAATGTTGCTTGTACGGGTTTGGAAGTTAATGTATCTAGTTGTTCACATAATAGATGGGGAACACACAATTGTGGACATTATGAAGATGCTGGTATAAAATGTTCATCATGTAAGTAATTGTTATTTTCTAATAAACGATTCATCATATTAATATCGAAAAATTTTTAAATCAATCTGTGTTTGATCCAACATAAACATCGAAAACCTTGTTTACTTAACAACTTTGTAATGAAATATGTTTTTTAAAAATGAGCCAGTTTGACTTCAAGGACCAAGAAGAGGCGAAGGAATTGGACGTGTAGAAATTTTCTACTATGGAGAATGGGGCACAATTTGTGACGATTTGTGGGATTTGCAAGATGCTATGGTTGTATGTCGTCAACTTGGATTTAATGGTGCAGTAAAAGCTTTACAAGGAAGTTCTGTTCCTGATGGTAGTGGAAGGATATGGTTGGATAATGTTGCTTGTGCGGGTTCAGAAGTTAATGTATCTATTTGTACACACAATAGTTGGGGAACACACAACTGTGGACATAATAAAGATGCCGGTGTAGAATGTCTAACAGGTAGGTATTTTTTCTACTTTTCAGTAACTATTTCTGCATTTATATTAAAAAAATTTAATATCAATCTGCGTTTGCTATCTTTTCTGGAACATAAACATTGAACACAATGGTTACTTAACATCTGAGAATTTTAAAATAATTTTTTCAGAAGAGCCGTTCGACTTCAAGGACCAAGAAGCAGCGAAGGGATTGGTCGTGTAGAAATACTCTGAAATGGCAAATGGGGCACAATTTGTGACGATAGTTGGGATTTGCTAGATTCTAAGGTTGCATGTCGTCAACTTGGTTATGGTAGAGCAGTAAAAGCTTTACAAGTACGTTCTGTTCCAGATGGTAGTGGAAAGATATGGTTAGATAATGTTGCTTGTACGGGCTCGGAAGTTAATCTATCTAGTTGTACACACAATGGATGGGCAACAAACTATTGTGGGCATAGTAAAGATGCTGGTGTAGATTGTTCATGATGTAAGTACTTTTTAACGTCTTATTAACTATTCATCGTATTTGAATTAAAAATTGTGAAATCAATCTGTGTTTGCCCTAACAATAACTTGTAAAACGTTCTTTATTTTACAACTTGTAAACAAAACTAATTTTTTAAAATGAGCCAGTGCGACTTCAAGGAGCAAGAAGCAGCGAAGGAATTGGTCGTGTAGAAAATTTTTACAATGGAGAATGGGGCACAATTTGTGACGATGGTTGGGGTTTGCAAGATGCTATGGTTGCATGTCGTCAACTTGGTTATGGTAGTGCAGTAAAGGCTTTACAAGGAAGTTTTGTTCCTGATGGTAGTGGAAAGATATGGTTAGATGATGTTGCTTGTACAGGCTCAGAAGTTAATCTATCTAGTTGTACACATGGTGGATGGGCAACACACGATTGTGTACATGGTGGAGATGCTGGTGTAGAATGTGTAACATGTAAGTAAATTTTGTCCTGTTTGGTACCTATTGATAGAGTTTATATAAAGAAATTTTAAAATCAATCTTTGGTTGCTAACTTTGCTGGAACATAAACATTGAACGAACACTTCAGATACTTTATGTAAGTAAAGTTTTCACCTGTGTAGTATTTCAAACGCTTAATATAAGTAGTGAAAGAAGTAATACAGTAAAGTAATACAAAAGAAATAACACTGGAAAACTTGTCAACAAAACTGATGATACATTGCGTATGAAATACTCGCGTGACTACTTTAAATTAACCGTTATTTCTACACAAACCTTTTTAAAAATAATCATACGGTTCAAATAGCTAAAGGTTATGCGACTTTGTGTTTTATTATGATCTTATTGCGCTCTAATTCAATATAAGTACAATATCCTATTATAGACAAACCAGTCAGAATTGAAGGACCAAGAAGCAGCGAAGGAATTGGACGTGTAGAAATTTTCTACAATGGAGAATGGGGCACAATTTGTGACGATGGTTGGGATTTGCAAGATGCTAAGGTTGCATGTCGTCAACTTGGTTATGGTAGAGCAGTAAAAGCTTTACAAGGACGTTCTGTTCCTGATGGTAGAGGAAAGATATGGTTAGATATTGTTGCTTGTACGGGCTCGGAAGTTAATGTATCTAGTTGTGCACACAATGGATGGGCAACAAACTATTGTGGGCATAGTAAAGATGCTGGTGTAGAATGTTCATGATGTAAGTACTTTTTAACGTCTTATTAACTATTCATCGTATTTGAATTAAAAATTGTGAAATCAATCTGTATTTGCCCTAACACTAACTTGTAAAACGTTCTTTATTTTACAACTTGTAAACAAAACTAATTTTTTAAAATGAGCCAGTGCGACTTCAAGGAGCAAGAAGCAGCGAAGGAATTGGTCGTGTAGAAATTTTTTACAATGGAGAATGGGGCACAATTTGTGACGATGGTTGGGGTTTGCAAGATGCTATGGTTGCATGTCGTCAACTTGGTTATGGTAGTGCAGTAAAGGCTTTACAAGGAAGTTCTGTTCCTGATGGTAGTGGAAAGATATGGTTAGATGATGTTGCTTGTACGGGCTCAGAAGTTAATGTATCTAGTTGTTCACATGGTGGATGGGCAACACACGATTGTGTACATGGTGGAGATGCTGGTGTAGAATGTGTAACATGTAAGTAAATTTTGTCCTGTTTGGTACCTATTGATAGAGTTTATATAAAGAAATTTTAAAATCAATCTTTGGTTGCTAACTTTGCTGGAACATAAACATTTAACGAACACTTAAGATACTTTATGTAAGTAAAGTTTTCACCTGTGTAGTATTTCAAACGCTTAATATAAGTAGTGAAAGAAGTAATACAGTAAAGTAATACAAAAGAAATAACACTGGAAAACTTGTCAACAAAACTGATGATACATTGCGTATGAAATACTCGCGTGACTACTTTAAATTAACCGTTATTTCTACACAAACCTTTTTAAAAATAATCATACGGTTCAAATAGCTAAAGGTTATACGACTTTGTGTTTTATTACGATCTTATTGCGCTCTAAATCAATATAAGAGCTGAAGACCGAATCGAGTGGAAGAAGTTGTGGAGGCCATCTGCCAACAGTGGCGTGAACGGCTGATGATGATGATGATGATGATGTTTGGTTTCATGATCCTGACGGCATATGATCACAGTTTGACAGAATTTTTGAAAACACTTGCATGGAGGTTATCACTGTCTATCAATGAAATGCTTTATTTTGTTCATTTCCTTGTAGAGTTCACTGGAGAATTTTGTGGCTTGATTGAATATTGAAAAAATTATTGATAAGAAAGAAGTGAGAAAGAATATAGGAACCTTGATGATGATGATGATGATGATGAAGCATATATTGAAAGCTACAAGCACCGGGTTAGAATGAATTTAAAGTTATCTTTATAGAAAAGATTTACCTCAGAATGAACGTTTTTCTTACTCGACATCATGATTATCTAATACTTTATTTAATACCACTGACACAACTGACGTAAATTTACCTTCGTGAGAAACTACGTCATATTTCTCAGTCATCTGTTCACTAGTCATTAGTCCTCTCACATGCACATTTTAGCATGACATGTGTTTGTTTTAAAATAACGTTGGGCGATGTACCAGACTAATATCCTGTCATTGCTTTGAAGGAAATGATCGTCACATGACAGTCTGTTTATTGAGGTCATGCAATGTAAGCAACGACTACGAATGAACCATCAGAATGAACACAATTAGCATTGTCGCAAAATTTTACCAAAAATAATTAAATTTTGGCAAAATAAGTGTTATCGTAAACGATTCCACTAGACACAAACAACATCTCCAAAGCGGTTTCCCTGCACCAATATTCTTTTGAAATGCTAATACTAAAATGTTTTATTATTTAAATTTTCTTTATTTCCTGCTTTCCGAGTGCCTTTTATTCATTATTAATGTAAGTAATTGTAATTACACAATTACGCAATATTTATTCTAGATAGAAATCAGTTTCGAATTTTTCGTGAGGACAAAATAGCATCTTACGTATATTGTCAGTCCTGTCATTGTTTTTACATTACTGTATTAATATTTCACCAATAACTTTGTGTCTTAAAGAACTTTTATACTTTTAAATGTATTTATACCGCGGTAATGCTTTGTATCGTCTTAAAGAAAGCCCATACAGTCGGCGTCTTTTTATGATGTTCTTGTTTAACTTCATTATAAGATTAATTTTCCAACCTGGAAAATCTATCGCCACTGTATTAATTTATATTTCAACTAAATATTATTTTTGATGTTTTAGTTGTTGTATTATACATCCTGTGTTTTACACATTCTGCATTATACTCTTTAAAGATTGTTCAAATTTCAATGTTTTAACCGTCCCCCCCCCCTCCTCACCCCTTACAGACTCTCCACAATCCAAAAATAGCATTTTCCGTTTCATAACTACAGCACAATTGCAGAAGGACTTTTGAAAACAGTTGGTGGTTATCGCTCTCCAGCAATGAAATGCTTCATTTTGGTTTAACACCTTAGAGAATTCACGTGGAAACTTTGAGCTGATTGAATTTTATAATATTATCTATAGAAAGAAGGGAGGAAGAATAAAGAAACCTTGATGAGGATGACGAGGATAAGCTATATATGGAAAGATACGACCACCAGGTTAGAATGTTTACTTAAATTTAGCTGCATGGGCAATAAACACTTTATCTCAAAGTTGGCGTTTTTTTACTCGGCATTATGATTATTCAGTACTTTATACAATCCGATTGTTATGCATTATGTTTGCTATAATTAGATGTATTTTTTAAAAAAAGTAGATGGTTTACATAAAACCACGTTTTACACCACACTTTGCTTAAGTTCACAATATCACCGGCAGTTGGATGGAAGTTAAAGTTATCCTTTTGGATTAACAAAGTTAATCCTGTTGGAAATGTAATCTATTATTATACAACTAGTGTGCAAAGATATTGCAGGGCTCATTATTTCAAATTTCCTGTTTTATTTTATTTTACTGATGCCAGTATAAATTTTATAGATATTGTCCGTGCGTATAAATTAACTTATTTCTTTGTAATTCAAATCACATGCGTTATATTGATGCTTTCAAACATTGCTTGAGGAAATTGATGATGAAAGCCGAATCAAACTGTGTGCCGCAGCCATAAGAAATGACTTTATAACGCAGCACTAAACATTTTGACTTTGATTTTCTGGTGCATTTTCTCGCAATATTATTATTTACTTCATTTTAATCAAATCTGCAGGTTGTTTGATTATTTCAATGTAAACAGTACAATTTCGATCAGCCATTGATATTGGTTATTACTATACTATGTCTTCACGGCTATCTTATAAAAATTTTGTGTCTAAAATTGTAGCACATTTGTACGTCACATATGGTTGCATGAAAGTCAAAATTTTAATTGGACAACTATGAAATCACTGAAGTCCCTGATAATCAACTTTACAAATTAAAATTCAAGACTTGAAAATTTTCTTTAGTTATAGAACTCAGTGTAGCTGTTTAACCTTTTAGCATTTTTGGCCCATTGCCGTCGTTTTCTGTAATACAAAAGAAACTTGCACTAGAAGCTATTTTGACATCATCCAAGGTAGTCGGCGTTCGGGCATATTTAGCTTATATTAAACATACACGTTCTTTCACGCTGTTTTATTATAATATTCGAGGAAATTATGTCTTGCGAAGAAAGCAATGAATCAAAATCAGAGTATTCAGTCATATAACTCATAGTATTCTCAGAGTTAACTCAGAGTAATCAGTCATAATCGCAATCAGAATTGAGTGTTCAGTTAGATAAATCTGACAAAAACTTTATACCGGGATACGTGATAGAAAACTCGGAAGGCAATAAAACTTCAGCGATAATGATTCGGATTTTGACTCCAAAGCATGGATGGTCGGAAAGACACAAATTCGAATCTCATCTTTTTTAAGCCTTGGAAAATTAGCGTTCTTTTGATTCGGCAATTAAACAACTAAATTAACGCTCCAAATCCTTTGATCTTAAGTGAGCCGAACAAAATATTGAAGCACTGGAAGGCTCAAATACGCTCTTTTTTCTTTAAAACCCAGATATTCCGTCTTCGCATAGCCTCTGTCCTTTTATAATTATAAGGCGTAGTGTGAAGACTCATACAAGAGCTAAGGCTTGATTTATTCGGACAACTGGCTGCAACGCAACTATTTACCATTTTTCTGCTCTAAGTGGTGCAAACGCGATGCTTTTAGACTCTTAAAGACTTTAGCTGTGCTTCAGCAGCAGTGATTTCATAGCTATTGAATACACGACTCGTGTAACACAAGTACCTTGGATGACGTTAGAAAATTAGCTAGTTTCAGACTCCTCATTATCACGGACATGGTTCACAAGAATATACGATTTTAGAGAATTTAACGGCTTACAAAAATCAAACGACTTGACCAAATTCCAATTTTTTGTCTCAAAGAGGCTTAAAAACATACACAGATTTTGGTGGATGGGCACTTTAACACGTCTCATATTTTACTTCATGTAAAATTATTAATCGACACAATTAATATTTGTAATTCTTACAATATTCGACGGCAAAACAAGTTCATTTGCTTTCTGCGGTTGATTAAAATCACCAGCATAGTATTGTAAGTCTCTATGACTCAACAGAGTAATGTTTAAGTAATTCATATTTTACTTAATTGGACTATATACAAGACAGTACAACATAGTAACTACTAAGTACAAGTTGCTAGAACACTTCGCTTGAAAGAGTTAGAATTGATATTTGTCATTGTCACTAATCAATATCTTTTATTTAATAATTTTTTATGAAGGTTGGTAATGTTTTAATTGTTTGTACAATAGATAAATCGAGCTCATGTTTAGTTCCGCTTGAATAGATGACAAGGAATATCGTACAACTATACAAGTCAATTTTTGGGCCGTAATGTATTTAGTTCAGGTTTTTCAAAATAACAACATTTTTTTAGGATTAGGCCACCGCCTCTTTGCTGATTGAAAAAAAACTTCTGCTTTATCTTTGTACGTGGATAGACACTACGCAGTGTAAACATTGACATATAGCCAATGGAAGAAGCTTAATGATAAAATATTCACTTTAATTAACTTTACCACACAAATATAGTTTTCCCTCACTCTCATTCTGAGAGTGAGTCAATCTACAGAATGAAATAAAACATTGTTAGCAAAACAAGCTGCGATATTTTTCCGACAATAAGACGAAGGCACAAAACGATATGCTTCATCATCTTTTGTATTTCCGACAGTCCCCAAATTTAATTATCTCGGGTATAGTGTATGGTCTCATATGGATACTTTTTCGATAGCACAATGTAAGCTGCGTACGCACAAAAACCTTCAGGCTGAAGTTGACTTTTTACGTGGCCATATTAATATGTGACAACTTTAGTTATGGATAGTTGAGCTGCTTTATCATTTCCATGCTTGAATATTTTTTCAAAATTCATTAAAATGATAAAACTCGTTCTCGGATAAAAAATGCACACAATGTGTTAATGCAGGTTAGGTAACGCACGGATATGTTGAAGCCAATGTTGTGGCTGATGCAAGAAGAAATTGAACGATCTCTAAAATATAAATCGCATATATAAAATAATCAAAACCTTGAGGACTATAGGCGTAGAAGCTGTTCAAAAAATGACGATAAAATGAAACATGTTTTTCACAATTTCCATTTCAGCAGCTCACTTACAATGATAGACTTGACATTTTTCCTGTTAGTCAGTACTACGTTATCACAAGGTATGAAATCTTAAATAAATATTTACCTTTTCACATTAAAAGTTTTTTTTGATGATATCAGCAAAAATTGTATGTATTTTATAATAATATAAAAAAGTCGATGTATTTTATTGATCGAAGGTAAGAATAGCTTTTGCAAACAAAGCTTTTATTTTTTTGCAATTTTTAAATAACGTTCCTATTATCTTTCTTAACCAGCTCCTCCGTCAAATAAATTTCATGCGACGTATTTATGCAAGAAAATATAAAAATTTCTTTAAAGCCTGGAATTTTTTTACGTAGTAACAACTGAAAACAGAGAATTTTGGTCGCCTAGTGATTATCGTATGAATGTGAAAACATAATTAAGTTGTAGCTAAGGTTTACACTAACTTTTGACCTACATAGCCAGTGAAAAGCAGTCTTACGAAACAAAATAAAACAAAAACTTTTTTATCAATGTTGTATTAAAAATAACTTGCTTGATCCCTCTCATTTTTACTTCCAGCGAGTGTTCATTCTAAAGTCTGCGACTTTGAAAATGGCCTGGGTACGAATTTATGTCCATGGTACAATGTTGTGGGAATTGATGATTACAACTGGACTGTCCACAATTCTCAAACATTTGGTAAGTTCTGAAACACGAGAGCTTTTTGTTTGTGTGCAAGGAGACAAAATATCGAGTTTCAAGAAAAGAAACTGATTTCATGTTTGCAAAACTGAGCGAGTTTTTGTAAATAGAGATTAGGATAGCTTTGTAAGGCGAGTAAGATGATAAATCTTGGTTGTTACTTAATGTAGTTTCTTGTAAATTGTGAGATGCAGACGGTACTAAGCCCAATTCGAATGTGGATGACTTGGAGTTTAGTTTTGTGGAATAGCGTGGAGGGCATTGACGACTTTGACTGAAGACTTAGTTCACTATATGGAAGATCACGTTATAACGACGAAGGCTTCAGTTTTGGTATGATGTCATTGATTTATATAGTAGAGAGGCTTTATTGAAGAATGGAGATCGTTTAGTGAGATTTTGTTTTAAAAATGACTCTTCCAATTTTGAATTGAGCTGAAATTCCCTTTGAATTTAGTTGATGACATGTCACACGAGCAAACTGCAGGCAGTCAACGCTCAGATAAGGCTCTTTTAATTTCTTTAAGAATGTTTTTATTTGTTTTGTTTTTCTTTATTGTTTTTAAGTCATTTATAGCAAGTGCTTAATATTCATCGATCCAGTAGCATAGTAGCTTCTTGAATACTAACAAGTTGTAGATTCTTGGGAATATTCAACATAATTGTCCATTCTTTCAGTCTAATTTGAGAACACTTAAAATTTCCCTCTTACGTCACAGGCTTTCAACTTCTTATTGAACAAAGCTATAGACTTTGGTCATATTAATCGTAAACATATCTGAAAAAAATTTAGGTGTCTTAGGGATTTACACTTAATTATCCCTATCTATCGAATAAAACGATGATTGATACAACATCTATAGCCAGAGCACTAAAAGTAGCTAGCGGCATAACGCTGAAGTTTGCTTCAACGTAATAAAATTATCTACTGCCATACAGGGGCCGCGGAAGTATCTCAAAAGTGGGGGGACACTGACCGAAAAGGGCATGTGAGTTTGCAGCTTACTGTTTTAGTATATTACAGATATACATTGTTTCATGAATCATGATTAAGTTTCAAAGTCTGCAAAATATTGGTAGACATTCTTAGAATGCTATGCGTATTCTCTACTGATCGGCGTGCATGCTAACAAATTGAACTAAGATGACTACATGAACAATATTATTAAGTAATGCGATCTCATTAAAATTTCCCAAAAAATCTAACCCTACGTTCGTTTTTCAGAACAAAGTCCTTAGCTATTAAACGTAAGTCTAGTCCGTCAGTTCTGGCCTTGTTTACATGCATAACTATAAGATTATTGTAGCGTGCTGCCGTCAATGTGCTCCTGAGATGTGTGTTGACAAGCCGCTGGCATGAAAAAGATCGTTCTCCAGAGGCTGCGCTCATTGGAACAAGAAGGTAAATCTGCAAGAGTCGGACAACATTAGACATTGCCATGGCAATCTGCGATAAGTTATTTTCTTCGGTTGAGGATATTGATGTTATGGTGTCAATTGATATCACCTTCTTTACTTCTGGAAGTCGCTGCGAGATAATTCCTTCGAGAAGCTTTAACTCCGCCTTGAGCTGGTCAAAGTCGAGGTCATTTTCGTAAAGGTGTTCAACTTCATCATTCAACTCAAACTTACGCCCGTTTGCTGCATTAATGAGCACGGTTTCGATGTTCATCAATACAGAATATGTTTTTTGATCGAAGCGCTCCTGTAGTGAAGCCAAGCACGCATCAATTGCCTCAACATATTGCGCACGCTGGGCGTCTTTCGCAGATTGGAAATGATGTTGCTCGCCATCTCCGTGTTGAAGTCGCCACGGAACTTTCTTCGGTCTTGGTTGTGTTGGATCGCCTGCAAAGTTGATAGCCTTGCTTGAAGCAACTACTTGGTCTTAAAACAAAGAGAAGTTGTCTCGTTGACGCTGTAAGTTTGTCTCCAAGGCATTTATGCAAGTAACAGTTGACAAACGAAGACAACCCCAATCGACAAACGCGATTTTTGATCCATCTGGGTAATCAAAATAAAAAACTAAGCTATAGCTGATTTCGCATGATGCCGACAGACTTTGTTCTACTCTTGGGGCTACTTGTATCTAAGAAAAACTTCTTCAGTCCAATTTTACCTAAAACAAGGGCATATCTCTACCATGAAAAAGGGCACTTTCATTCCAGAAAAAGGGCACATTTTTCCCTGTTGCAAAAAGTGGGGGGGGCACTTGCCCCTAATGCCCCCCCAGTTCCGCGGCCTCTGCTGCCATATGAAAAATCCAAAAGCTAGTATCTTCAAAGAAACAAATTTTTCTTAATTTTTTTATGTTCGAAAGCTCTGACTGGTTAAAGCTAAAAAAAAACAGCAACTATCGAAATTGGAAACTTTTAATTTTCTTCCCACCCTTGACAAACTGTTACATTTTCCCCAACATGAGAATTATAGGATTCCCCGATGAGTTTGATGTAACCGCCCCTGGTCGCCCTCTTGCGCCATCCTTGAACCACGATAATTTTATATTCATAAATTTATAAAAAAAAACTTAATGAAATAAATTTTAGAATTACACAAAGATCTTACTTATCTTAGTGTACAAGGTGTTTTGAGCAACATAAATCGATCTCTTAATGAGCATTACTGTAATGGTTGATCAAGCAATTTTAAATAAATGACTTATCAATAAATATGCATTCTTTATATATATAGTTTACGTAGTAACTATATTTTACAATTTCTCTTGTGTTGCAGGACGATATCTTCATTCTGAATCAAGTTTACCTGGCAAAGCTTGGTTGGTGGGAAACTATCGAAAAGACTATCTCGTGTGCTTTTCATTTTCGTATGATTCTACTCGCAGTTATTATGAGATATTAAATATCTACCAAGAATATTTTCACAATAGTTACAATGTGCTACTGTGGTCATTAAGTGGTGATCAAGGGAACAAGTGGAAAAAAGGCCAAGTTACAGTTAATTTTACTGTAGGTCTTTCTAGGGTACGCAACTTACACTTATTTATACAACTTAAAATTAAACTTCGGCAGTTTGTCCAAGCCGCTTACTTTTCTTCATAGTTGATCGTTGAAGCTGTCGTGCTTAGATACACAATAAACTTCGCAGCTCTCGACAATCTTGCTTTTGCTCCAGGAATCTGTGACACAATACCAAAGGTGGCCATTCCTAGCAATGCTTTTGGTAAGTATTTGTTTTCCTGGATTGTGAAGTGTTTTGCTTGATAACTTTTGTTGTTTTTATGTTCTCGGAAATTTTATAACTTTTCATTTGGTTCATAGTTAACTTACATAATGAGACAGGAAACATTGAATACGATAAATAAATCAACTGTAAAATTTCAATTGTCAGTCAACATTTTATTATCGATGATCTTCTTTATAGATTGTTCCATTGGTTCATTCTTTTCGTTTAAAAGTAAAAAATGCGAAAAATGTCCCATCTATACATATCAGCCTAACCCAAAACAAACTCGTTGTCTTACCTTTAATGATGGTAAAGGTACCATCAATGTTGGTGCAGTGAGTGAACGAGAATGTATAAAAGGTAATTTTTAACATCATTAGTAACATTAATAAAAACTTGTACATACCTTTTTTGCAAGACTAGATTTGATAATATACTGATATGTCATATGTTATTTAGTAAAAATTTCTTGCACGTCTTTCGACGCTCCATTCTGTTACATCATAAATTGTTGTTTTGCCTTTATGTTTGTTGAAGTATGATTTGAATTTTTGTGTTGGTTTGTGAGTGACGTTTGTATTGAATGATCGAAGAAGTCATGCAGTCACTTTTGATGCTCCGTTGATGTATGCCTGGTAATGTGATCGTCTTTTTTATTTCATTGTGTTTTTCGTCATTTTTGTCGGTTTGTGTTTTGTTTTATATTTTGTTTATAGTTTCGTTTATAAGCTTTCTAGGGTAATTGTTTTTTATAAATGTGGAGAATAAGTAGTTGCGTTCTTTTTTCTTGGCTTATTCGGTGTTACAATGAGTGTTGATTCTGTTGAAAAGGTGTTCGTATGCAGCTTATTTTCTCTTGTGTTAGGTGATTGCTGAAATCGAGTATTTGGTCTGTGTGGGTCGTATCGCAGTATAACATGTGTGTTTAGTGTGCTGTTCTAGTTAGTAGGATACGGAGAAAAGTTAGTTGCTTTTCATGTCTTCATCTTTAGGCAAGTTTATGTTTATTGTTGTATTAATTAAGGTTTTGTAGGATTTTTTCAGTTTTGTCTTTCTTGACTGTGGCAAAGAAGTTGTCGACACATCTCTTCCTCAGTCTGATATCTGTGTTGTTGATGACTGATTGTGATTCGAGTTGTTGCATTACAATTTCTGTGATGAAGGTAGATAGTGGTGACACAATTTGTGTGCCTGAAATTTGTCTATGGTATGATATCTGTAGTAAGAATTCAGTGAAGAGGCAAAGATTGAGTAAGTCTAAGATGTCATTTTTGTCAAGTTGTGTCGTGGCTTGCAAAGATTTGTCGTTTGTGAATAGTTCGTTTGTAATTTTTTACTGTGTCTAGTGGTATGGTTGTGAAGAGTAATGTCACGTCGTAAGATATCATGATTGTGTCTGGTTGGAGTTTAACGGTGTCACTGTTGGCGAGGAAGGTGGTGGTGTTTTTGATGGTGCGAGGTGAACTTTTGACTATAGGATAAAGAATGTTAAAAAGATATTTTGATAGTTCATATGTATGTGATGCTGGATCATTATTATTGTTTGCACAGCTAGATTTAATAATGCACCGATTTCATATTCCTGTAAAGTAAAAATCCATATTTCTAGCACGTCTTTCAACGCTGCATTCTGGTACGATAGAAATAAAGACAGTGCATGTTGTCGATTCTCTTTTTCAATTTTATGGAGCAGTAGTTTGAAACTATTTACATATGATTTTTCAATCATTGAATAACACAAATATTAGCGTTGATTTGAACCTTGGTTATTTATATATAACACGTTTAGGAAATATTTTAACAAATTG